GAAAATCATTAAATCTGGAAGTTACAAAGTTTGCGCCCGACAAGGAGAATCAGCCCCTTTTAAAGTGAATCTCTCTGAAGTCTAAAAGTGATAATGAGTGGGAGCTCGCAATAAAGACACCCTTATGCACACTGTGCACAAATGTGCCAACATTCCCACATACTTGTTTTGATATGCAGATAGCTATGAAAGAAATCTGAAAACATTCATGCCCCCATCTTACAAACACATAATACACTTAGTTTACTTACACCCACACACTCCTCGAAAGACACCAAAAAAAAAAAAAGCACATTTCAGAACATTTTCACACAAACACACATCCTTGCACTTAGAGGTGCACATAGTGCTGTACACGCCCACGTAACAAAACAAAAAAAATAACTTATACATCCTCAATATCTGGACCTAAAATAATCTTCTCCTTATGCAATCTGCATGTTATATAACGCATGGTCTGTCATTATCACAGTGCTCCTTTACGCCCTGCTGTGCCTCTCCACCTACAGCACCACACACACACACACACACACACACTGCACCTTGTGTCGACAGTCATATACTCTAGCACTCTCACCCACGTTGAGTGTGTGCTCTCAAAAAGCCAGCCAGTTGAGTGAAAGGGAAAGACAGAGAGTGGGTGGGTGGGGGGGGGGGACTGAAAGTGAAAGACAGAGAGGGAAAACTTCGAGAGTGAAGGGTACATTCATGCAGAGACTCCACATTTGCATGATCACATGGATCTGTGCATGTGTTTTTAGGGCCGTATGATTTATGAAAATTCCCGTCTTCCACCCCTTTTAAACCTGTTTGAGGCTTCATGACCCCGTGTAACCTTACTTGTGTTTTCATATTCAGTATCACCCTCTTCCTATTCCCGCTCGCAGGGGTCATTGCAGGATAATGGATAATCACTCTCACTGTCACACAAAGTCACACCTGCAGTAAGGGCAAAACAACATGTAACATGTCTTGCGCGTCATCCTCTCGTACGACGGAGAGGGAGTCAAGTTCGGCAACATTTCTGGAAATTGTGCCGCCCTAACACAAGCTCGTATTGTACTTCATTTAATTAAAATGAAAAGTGCAGCTCACATAGTTTTTGAATTACTAATGTGAACTGACAAATCAAGCAATATGTAATATAGCTGCCGTGTGTCAACAGACGCATACATAGCCACAGTTAACTCGGCGTACTGCAAGTTATTTAGGAAACTGTATAGCAACACGATGGTATTGCCAGACGGCAACCCTCGGTTCTGAAAAGTGAAGCTGATGACTCTACTTCTCACTTGATTTATTACCTCAGTAAACATTGTGAACATGAGTTCATGGTCTCAATCGCTAGTTTCAAGTCTTCTTCTATACAGCATGATGTTCATTTAGTAAATGATTTAGAGTCAAATAGACCATAAAACAGGGTATGTTTTAGGGCGGGGCTACCTTGTGAATGACAGGTCGCTGCCAGAGCCGTATACGGCGTCTCTACGTCACTCCTCCGTAGTCTAAATATGGTCAATTCTGTTCACTGGCTGCAAAAAACCACGATGGCGTCGGCCAAAATGCCGAAGTCGAGGCTTCAAAACGGCAGTCCACAAACGGGTGACATCGAGACGTCTACGTCTCCTTCTTGTAGTCAGTCTAATTGTTTTGCACAAATCTCTTTGATGGTACTTGCTCATGAGTCAAGGAGGACCTCCATACCAACTGTTCCCAGATCAGCACTCTCACAGTTAAAGGGTATGAGAATTGGCTCGGGAGCTCAGCCGAGGAGCCAGGAGTGTGATGAATAATCCCAAACAGAGGCAGGTGTTTGAATACAGTTGACACCGTGCCAGACTACTTTAAGGTGACAGACACACCTGTCAGTGGGGGTGTCCCACGAGAGGGAGGTGCAGGAAGTGGGATTTCATATGATGCATTTACGCTCAGAGGCACATACGTGTGAAGTACTTTGTGAAGAAAAGTGTACGCTGTGTGTGTGTGTGTGCATAGTGCAATCTGTCAGTTATCAAAGTTTTTCGCGGCACGGACCGTTTTATTTGGCCCTGACCTGCCAACCCTTGCCTATGATCAGGCAGTGTGTTCTCCTCCTCCTCCACACTTCATCAACGATAGGAGTCAACGACCTTTCAACCCCGCCACCCACCACTTAACACCCACAGTTTTGTTCAGCCTCTCCGCCTGCCGGAGCCCAGTGGATCAGTAGATCTGCTCCCTCGTACAGACAGACCCAGCGTGCACAAATGCAACACATTGCACTGTATCGGTTTTGGTATCGCTGTACAGAAAGTGTAACATCTGAGACATCCTGTAGCCTATAGCATCAATAGTGTCCTGAAGTCGAAGTATTACCTTCCCTGCCCTTGCTTCTCTATTCACTTTTTTTTAAACCTTCGCAACATAAAAACCACTCAGCAAAACATCTTCCTCTAATTTAATTCAACTTTTTTTTTTCTGTTGGTATGAGCAGAGATTAATAAATAGCTGCGTGACAAAGGTTCTCTCTCAAGTGGGACTCTCCCTATTTTCATTTTAAAAACAAGCATTAAGCCCACTCAATCCTATTTCAATATCGTTTGCAGCACCCTCTGTAACAAACAGCACAAGCCGCGCGTTGAGTAAACAAGTGTGTGGCTGGCCAGCGGATCTGATGTGGGAGGGGTTGCAGAGCAATAGCAATAATGGCAGTGTATAGCAATGTTGCCTTGAATGTTCGGCAGTGCTAAATGTAATCCAGACAGCATCTGTGAAGCCAGTCTAGACATGTCTCGCTGCAAATGAATGGCGCTTGAGCTTCAGAGGAGAGACCCGGCCATGCTCTCTCAGTGGAGAAGTCATCACCGTGTATGAATACAGCTCGCTGACATTTTGCTGCTAAACTAGAGAACTAACAGAAAACCCAGTTTGACTGTCGGTCGCCATGGGGACAGTGCCAAAAACAACAAATCTTTGTAATGAAAAGTAATCCCCCCCTCCTCTTTTCTTTCTCACACACACACACACACACACAAACACACACTTGTTCTCGCTCTTTTCGAGCTGTTTCCACCCCCATCAGACTTTGTCTCACACTCTCTCTCTCTCTCTCTCTCTCTCTCTCTCTCTCTCTCTCTCTCTC